TAGCGAAAACCTTGTATAGACATTGTCGGGGACAGACCCCATACGTCAGAATGAACAATTTAAAAAGGTGAAGTAGAAGTAGAGGTAGATCTAGGAAATGGTAACCTATGACTTTTTGTGAGATTACAAGTATTACAAAAATTTGTAGTGATATTGGAACTGATAGTTGAGTGCAGACGAGCGAGGCATTGTAGTTTGCGGATACCCGTGTGATCGAGACGACCGTGCTAGAGATTTGGAATTGATTGAACTGAGAGTAGAGCTAACGTCGAGGGCGTTGTGGCGGAGGAAATAGGGTAGAGTACGTTATGACACAGGCCCTGAAGTAAAATCCGTTTGGTCTTCGAATCCTGAATTTGATAACCCCGTGATGAGAAAGAAATGATACAGGAATTATCATGTGATAGTTGATGAACAGATAGCAAATTAAGAACCAATCTGTTTGGCAAGAGGATTCGGTTGGGTTGAACAGAGCTTGCGTAGATTGGGTTTCTTGATAGGTAGTATCATTGCGGTACCAACATTTGAGAGCGGTATGGCCTTGCTTGTTGCATATTTGGCAAATGGTGTTTCGATTGACTTATCTTTTATTGTAGTTAGATGTTTTGGATGTGCGCGTATTGCAATTTGATTGACGACCGCGATGAAAGGAGTTACGACCACATCCACAGCCGCGGGTAGCAGCTAGAGTGACCAGATTGTTTGAAAGATTAAGGGATTGAAGTTCTTTTTGTGTTTCTTGTGCAAGATTCACTTCTTCGCTGCAAAGAAGTGTGTATAGATCATCGAGAGTTATGGGTTGGAGGTTCGTTCAAAAAGTGATTTTAAAAGCCTTGTAGTTCACGAGTAAGCCGTTTAGTGTATACAGGATAATGCCCTCGGGGTCGATTGTGTTTCTGATGGTGGAAATTGCATCAACCTTGGATTTCACGGTGAGCAGATACTGAGACATGGATTGGTCGCCTTTTGAAAGATGATGGATCTCATTCTTTAATTGAATGAGGCGGGATCGGGTTGATGCTTGTAGGCGATGGGCAAGCGTAGCCCAGATTTCAGCGCAGTGAGATAGGGACAGCACGTAGGGTAAGATGGATGGGGTAATGATGGAGAACAGGGCAGCGACAAGATTTTGATCAAGAAAATTCCAGTCGTCGGGAGAAAGAATCGGAGGTATGACCTGATGGTGGAACTGGGTATGAGCCATCAAGAAAGCCTTTAAAACCGTTTTCCGTGAAAATCTTATCGACTTGCGATCTCCATTGCGGGTAGTTGTCGGCGGTGAGCAGGTTTGAGACAAGAGTTTTGAGATTATTGAGAACAAACTTAAGTTGAGGTGGGATATTGATTGAAAGATGAGAGTCGGCTGACTTTGTGGCTGGCGAGGAAGTGGTGGATCCGTCCATGAAAGAACGGAGAAGTAAGAATGCAAGAGGGAGAAGTTGGGAGGGCGAACAGGGAAGAGTAAGCGGGAAAGATTAGAAATGAAACTAAAGAGAGGAGAAAGAACGCTTATCTGTGCTCTGATACCATGTGAACATGTACATGAGAGATACCGCAGACGGATATTGAAACAAAGAAGAAGGAAAATAAAAATGTATATTATGTTCACGGGTATTACATACATGTATATATAAGGACAAAACGTAGTAATGTAAGCTGGCGGTGTAATATATTAAACTAGTATTTATTTGACTTGGTCATCTGGTTAACAGTTTTGACTGTAATAACTAGGAGGAAATTATTGAGTTTGTTAAATTATAATCTGATCAAGAATAATTGTTTGGTGCAAAGCATGAATCTCAGTGCAATTTAGCACTGAACCGTAGGTTTGACTGTAGAAAAGTGTAGAATAGCATGTTAACCCCGAAAAATAGATATTATGAGTGGTATAGTGTCAGTGGACGCTTGATCCAATCAAATAGGAGCCTAAATGACTTTGAACAAGCTTAATCCAGCTAAACCGTGCTAGTTCAATTAGACTAGAGAAGCTAACCTTTCTCCAAATATATTTTGCTTCAACAACAATTGCACAAATAGGGAGGGTTGATTAGTGGCAATAATGTTGTTGCTATCCACCCTAGCCGAGGGGTTGTTGGATCGGCTCTCAAGGTTCATGTGACTATGACTTGTGTGGTGATAATCTTTTATCACATATGCATGCACTCATTATTTTGTCTTCTGTGCTAGAAGTTCTTGATTTCATACCCCATGTGCCTATGATACTGTTATCATTCAGCATGTTGTTTGTCTCAACATGTTTCTTTTGTTGAGGAATCAATCCATATAAAAATGTATGGGCATGTTACATGTTTTTGTAAAATTTATTTAGGAGCTGAAAAAGCATCTCGCTATTGTTCTCACTGATCCAATTGTTGAAACTCTAATCCATCATCTACATCGATTCACTCATGTTGTTGTGGCCTATACTCTAGTATATTTGGATCACTAATCCGAGACATTGTTTGTGGTGATCAATAATTGTCACAGTTAGACCAATTATGCAAGCTAGCTCGGGAACGGGCATTTCAACTAAGATTGACCAAGAGGCATCCATCATCTAATAAGTATTTTATTAAAAGAGGATTGAATCTATATGCATTATTGTGGATAATTATAAAGAATATTCTGAAAGTTACTAAAATAGTTATAAATGGTCTTGTTGTTCATTTAGTGGGGGGATAGATGGAGAGAAATTTTGAAGAACCTTGGAATTTGAAGGAATTTCTGCTCTATTCTTTGAAAATTTTTCAAATATCTACTTGATCAATAAGCATGCGTCAAGCCATTCAGTCTTGCCAAACAATGTATTTCATTCAGTCTTACTAAGGAGTGTTGTTCACTATTTTGCTTATGTTCAACTCCACATCAACAAACTTAAATTGCATCATCTTAAACTAGCATGGTAGTTTGAGCTTTATTTTTTCTAGATGATATCTTGTAGCTTCAACTGTAGTCAGAGGACTAAACTTTTAATTAACCTACTAATAGTAAAAATTGTTTTGAGTGGGCTTGTTTTTTTTTTCCCTTGCAAGTTTTATTTGTAAAACTCTGCCTTTTTCATGTGTGTTCAGAATTTGTAAGCAGTGGTGGAGAATTCATTCAATCTAATGAGTTGATAGAAACATATTTGACACAATAAAGAGCCAACAAGTAGGGGTTACTAGGTAAAGAGAGAAAAGAGAAAATATGGAGTTGGAGAGAGAGAAACTAGTAAGGTTAAAGGAGGTGGCCCAAGATAGGGAGAACCTATATCTATTTTTATAATTAAATATAATATCAATTATTACTAATATTATACCCTTGATAGACTAGGGCTTAAAATATTGAGTCCTACATAAAATGCAAATTCAAAATGACCATGACTTAAGGATTGGTGGTGGTCCAAGATAGAGAAAATGCATGCATGTCAATTTTTAGTAGGGTTGTGAGTCGGCGGGCTCGACCTTTGTGAGCCAAGGTTATCGAGCCGTGTGCTCGAGCTCGAGCTAAAACTTGAGCTCATCTATTAAATGAGCTCGAGCCTGATGAGGCTCAATGGAGAAAAGGGATTCATGTAGCCGACTCCACATAGTGGGATAAAGGCTTGATGTTGAGCTTGATGAGGCTCAATTCGCGAGCTGGCTCATAATAATATAGCTAATAGGATTTATTTTTCCTTGAGCTAATCAGCTAGTGATTTTTTTCCTCTTGGCAAAAGTAACTAGTATTGATGAAAGTAGCCATGATTTGAAAGAACTCATGTTTCAAATTAAAAAAAGCTGTCTTACATTAATGAAGTTTTAAAAAATAAAAAAATGCTGTAGTTGCAGGGTTTCCTAGAAAATAAATAATAAATGATCTTCCTCTTCTCACCTTCTCATGCAACAGCCAAATCGCAAGCTAAAGCCATGAAGTGGCGTTGTGCCTTCGTCTTTGGCTGCATGTGTTTTTTCTCTGACAGCATCATGTGAGGCCTTCTTTGTTTCCTTTTGTCATGAACTCACGAGCCTGTTTTCATTGCTACGAGTTGAGCTCAAGCTCTCCCTTCGAGATCAACTTGAGTTCGCTTGCGATTTGGCCAGCAAGTCCACCTTGATTTAGGCATTGCTTAGGCTCGACTCAACTCGTTTATGTCCCTATTTTTCATAATTCACTGTAATATCACATATTACAAGCAGTAAAGTAAGTCTTTTATAGACACAATGCATAAAATATAGAGTTATAAATCAAAGACAAGTACAAATTGTCCATATCCTAATATATGAAATAAGTAATGACATAACACAAATTAAACTAGAAATAAACTTTAAAGTGTGATGCTCTTGCTAAGGATCAGGTTAAGGAAGCATGAGCAGAAATATGATCTTGCTTTTGCATCATTCGGTAACCTTTTTTTGGACAGTTTAAGACCAAAGCATCGTGCAACTAATCCTAACTTTCATGCAAGAGAAAGCATATTCAAATTAAGTTTGTTTTTGTTCTTAGGTTCCACAGGATGAAATCTTGACATTGGAGAAGATGCATGTATAGAGAGTTGTTGAAAAATTGAGGTTGCTTGCAACCATAATTTTGCCATCATGTCCAACTGATTTTCCAAATTTATAAGTGGCTTAATATTGGATGAGTTTGTTGCTCTTAAATGATCCATTACTATGTGGGCCACTTGAACTCTTTTGGAAGCTCTTTGCTTTCATGGTTGCTCAAAACTTTTTCTATAAACGGGATCCTTTTTATTTGCATTAGCGGAGCTTATGTTGTTCGAGACATAGGAGGTTTAACCTCAAAATCAAATAAATATATCTTCATCTTTATGATTTTCTTTTCTACTAATTGCATAACACATATTGATAAAAATGTTTTTTAGATGTTTAGTATCACTTTTCCTAGTTGATTTGATTTTTTTTACCATATTTAGGTTATTGTTTGGCTTTTACTTCTTTTTTTTAGGTTTTGCTTAATAAATTATGTAATGTTGAGGTTATGGGACTTTATCTCATTTATGTTTGATTTGGTTAATGCAGGGCATTTGTGAACAGCGTATGGTATATTAAAATACTTTCACCTGAAGATGTTCAAAGAATGGGATAGCTGATAATCGTTTTTGCCCACTCCTCTCAATAATGGACTGCAAATGGTATGCCTTCAAAGCAAAATGCATTTGAGTTACCCAATTGTTATTATTTTTTTCAAAATCTACATTTTTAATATTATTTTGTAGGATTATTACTACAAAGTATTTATTTCCAGGTATCTTGATATATATATACTTAAAAGTTATATTTTTATTTTCCCTTTTGTTGTTTGTAACCATTATTTATAATGTAAATTTCAGTTATTGGTAATGTCATATAGAGAATTTTTTGATTAATTATTATTCCACCTGTGCATACATGAGAATTTTTAATTATGGCTAATTGTAAGGTGCTAAATGCTTAGTTTATAGTAGTGATTATTTGGGTTTTGAAAAGAGAAAGTTTATTATTATTTCTTAGAGTAGATAATGGGGTGAATGATGAAGAACTCGATTAAGATTGTACGGTTAGATCATCTTAAGTTTTTATGGATCTTGATTACATAGTTGGCAGAGGTAGTAGACTCAATTTAATTGAAGGATTCTTGCTGACATCCTTAAGTTTCATCATTCAAAGGGATTTTATAGACATGAAGTGGGTGTTTGTTTAAGGGGATAATTTTAAACTTACTTTAGCTAATAGAACTTTTTATACTCGATCAAGCGTATCTTATGATCCAAAAATCAAGAGAAAGATTCATGTGGAATTTTTAGGCTTTGACATTGATCTTGATCATAGTTGAATGGTGTTATTTTGATTGCAACCCATCTTGCCAAAGGGCTATGATGATAGCCATAATTTGGTAGTGCATTTTACAATAAAATCTCCTCTCTGAGGACACATGCTAGATTTTAATCGCATGAAATATTTTGAGTGTGATCATAGTTGTATGTTTGATAACTCTTTTGCTCTTTGTGAGTTTAGATTATTTTAAATTTGACACCTTCAATAAACTACTATAGATGGTGGATAGATGTTTTCTTTAAACTGGGCAATCAACTATTACTTTCTTGTTTTTAGATTTTGTAATAACTCTTTTTATTTGAATATTTTTTTAGGAGTTTGGGTCTAAAAAAGTTTGGGAAATTTACATACATACCACTTTATAACATCCTATTTATATATCTAACACCTAAAACTTTAATATTACATGCATACCACCCTATATTATTTTAATATCAAATATACCACTTATATTTCTTTCCTACCACTCATATATTTCATTTCTACTACTCATATTTGGTATGAAAATGAACTATGGGTGGTATGTATGTAATATTAAAATTTTAGGTGTTAAATATGTAAAAAGAATAGTATTAAGTGGTATGTATGTAAATCTCCCAAAAAGTTTCTATAGAATTTTGGTTGATGATAAGGTTTCCTCCTATTTAAGTTTTCTATCAATGCGGTCGAAATTGGGGAAAGACTATTTACATCATTGGTATTTTCAATTCGAAAACTTGATTATTACACCTATCATAGGAGTATTTGATATGATTGAAGCTTTATTGCATTGAACATTCTCGACAATTCTTGCATGGTTGTAGAGAATCTTGTTTTTAGTTTACATATGGTTTGGTTCATTTAAATATCATTTTCATTTCAACAATTATCAACTTTACTGTCGTACACAAAAAAATGGATATATGATTATACTTCTTGCTGCACTTTATAAATACGACATCAAGAGTTTGTAGAAAAATAATTTTTTTTTTTTGTTAAAGGCTTGGAAGGTTTAGGTAAATATAAATAATTTTTTTTTGAGATTCACGATTAAGTATAAGTTTTTGAATCCATAATGATATGCTAGTTTACTTGATTTAACTAAGAGCATGAATTTAAAACCATTCCTTTGATCGTGATTGCTTCAAATATATTTCCTTGTTGCATGGAGAATTGGACCTAAAGTTTGGGACTTGTGACCTTACCGTATAGGCAGGGTGCCTTGCTTGAGAGCCTACATACATATTGGTGAATTTAATTCTTTTAAAGAGCAAGTTTGTGAAGTTTCAACGTAGTTAAACGCTTCTCGGAGAAAGTTCTTAATTGAGTCTGTCTAGATTTCAATTCGCCCAATTTTGATTTTATGTTTAACATTTATAAATTTTATCAAAAACATGTGGATATGTTTATTTTTGATGGTGCTTTGACAAGTTTTGAGAACAAGCACGTTTTTTTAGAATAGTTGTATGCTTTATAGAATGCGGTATATTTGAGTTCATTTTATTTTTTAGTCTTATGCTACATTATTTGAATTTAAATTCAAGCATTTATTATGTTTGTTGGAGCGTATATGGATATTTTATTTTAACATGTCTTTTAGATGACGTGCAAATCTTTCTCTACATATTCTTTCGTTTGAATGATCCAAATTCAATTGTTCACATAAATGCTTTGCTGAGTTTAAATTTTATTGTGCGTTTAGAATGCATTTTGTTTACTTGCATTTAATTTGCATTTTTATTAAGTAGACTTCATGGAAAGTAGTTCTTTCATCTTTAAATAGAAGCTGTCAATTGGTAATCATTAGGTGTAGTTCATGATTTTAACAGTTCAGAGTACTAGTGTGTTTTTAACTTCAAGAAAATAGTTGCATTTGATCTTTTATAGAACTTGTGTGCCACAAGGTAGTGTGTTATTAACTTTCAAATATATTTGCTAACCAACCACAATTAAGGTTTGAGAACCCCAAAATTTCTCTCTAAATATTATTCTCCTACATCGCCACTACCTTCCCAAACTTAAATCATTTCAACTCAAAAATATCAATCCCGTCCCTAAAATAAAACTCTAAATCCTACCATACACTAGTTGTGACCTGTCCAAACAAACTCCCCATGAAAATATTGAAATAGCAAAGTTGCAAGATTTTGTTTATTTTTAAAATCTCGTCTATATAAAGTTTTGGATTATAATTGGCATTCTCCCCAACATCGAAAAGATGTAATTACAATTTAAAGACTTGATCATGAGAAAAAAAAATCTTTATTATGTTGTTGAAACTCTGAGGCATTCATGCGGAGGAAAATGAATGGCCGTTAGAAACGAACCTTCTTCTAAAAGGTTTGGAGTATATTGGATGGTTGGAATCAATGGATAGCTAAAGGTTCTAGGAAACATTAAAGATTATCGACTGGCACTATAGGTGGTGGTGTTAGGAGAATCCATGAGCTTTAGGAGCAAAATTTTGAATAACTAGAACTTGAAAACACCAGTGTAGTAAATTTGGAAGCACGTTGGCATTGTTTAAAATTGCGCAGTATGAGGCTTGCGTTGAAGATCACCTCAGCGTAATTCCAGTGAAAAATGCCTCGAGGGCTTATGCCTCGAGCTTTTTTTATGAGGTTTGTATCTTTTATTTTAGTTGAGGCGCACCTCATCTCATTGACGTGAGGCTTACACCTTAATCTAATTATATATATATATATATTTTTAACTTATTTAAATCCTAAAATAAAACTCCAAACAAATCATGCCTTCATGCACTCCCAAGCCATAATAGCTTCCTCTCGACTACCTTGACCTCCTACCCGCCACTTATACCACAGCCACCACCATCATAGCCGCCATCGAAGATCACTTCGAAGCTATACACCACCACTGTATCCTTTAAAAAAATTAGAGTATTACTCTCTTATTTATGTTGATAATAAATATTTATGAAAAAAAAATATTGAAATAATTGAAGAAGCAAACTAGGAGGCATTGGACTCATAGGATGAGGTAGGGGAGATATCAATTTGTTATAACGATGACTCAAATGAAACCTCCCTCAGAAATGAAAGTGTAAGTTATGATTTCTTGCAACTCTTTCAGCTTTCTATAAGAATTAAATGTGGATGAGTGAGAAATTGGGAAAAATGAAATTTGGAGTTGAACTTGATGTTATATGATGCTTTTGGCATTTTTTATATTTTATGTGATTTTACTCTTGTAATATTTAGATTTCAATTTTATTTTATGCAATTTATGATTTGTCACTTTACATTTTTGTGCAATTTTTTGTTTCATATATATGCTAATTTATTGCTTCATAATTCAATAGGAAGATAATATGTCATTTTTAGACATATTATTTGAGTATTATATTAAAAATCACTTTTTATTTTTATTTTCACTTTATGCAATATTTAGATTTTCAGGCTTACGCCTCATTTCACGAATGAAAAACATTTAAATATTCAATTGTGCAATTTTAAACCTTGTACGGTGGTGGAGAATTTAAACATACCAAGGCATACAATTTTGAAATAAATAAGGATGAAAATTAGGAACACAAGCATACAATTTTGAAAAAATAAGGATGAAAATTTAGGAACACAAGCGTAGTTCACTAGATACTTAAAGTAGTAAGAGCTTTAAAAATCTTGGCAATATCTAGAATTTAGAATGCTATAAATGATGAGGATTTAGGTGTATTTGTAGATTTGAAGAGTAGATTGTTGTTTTAATTTATTATCATATCAAAATATTCTTTATTCTTATCAATAAAGAGCATACTCGATAATGACCTTTCTTGATAGGGAAGTACGTTATCCTACTTGTAGGTTGTCATGATTAACCTAGTGAGGTTGGAGAGCTAATGTGATAGGAAGTGGATGCAAAACTTGTGAAATTCTTTTGTTGAATTTATAATTTCAGTAAAACAGAAATTGGTAACAAATAATCGAAGAAGAATAACACTCACAAATACTTTTTGTTGGATTATATATGAAAGAAAAGACGAGATACAGTTGGATCTTCAATTGAAGAGGAATATATGGTTCTCGCAAATCTCTAGACTCCGCTAGAGCCCAAACCACCCTAATACAGTACAATTTCAGCAAATAAGACCTCCCCTAACCCTAGGAAAATCTCCTACTTAATGCAAACAATAAACAACAAATACCCAAACAGACTTCTCTCAATTTCCTCCTAAATCTGCCCTATTTCCTTAATTATTTTCCCTCCAAATCTGTCATCTTCAATTAGGTAACTTCATTTAATTAATCCTCTCCAAATCAGTCCTTAAATCTGTCTCCTTAAATTAGAAAATATTTCCTAATTAATCCCTTCTAAATCAGCCTCCAAATATGCTATCTTCAATTACAAAACATCACCTAATTAATTCCCTTTGATTAGTAACATTTCTAAACAACTCTCTTATAGTGGTGCATCGACGACATAATCATGGAAGTTTCTAAACAATGAACATAATACACCTTTTCAAAACTGCATGCTAAGAGCAAATTAGAGAAACTTGATGCTACGAAATAACTATAATTTTATTGTTCTTGATTTCATGAACAATTTAAACAAAATAATTTTGGTAAGGTTTAGGGATAAAATTTAGGGTTGATGGAAAGCTACTTAAGATATTCTGCCGTTTTTTCTTAAAGTTTTTGCCTCGTTGAGTACAATCTAATGTCGTAGTTTGCTCATAAATTGGGGGCCTTATACAGGCCATTTGAACTCCCGTAGATTTAGATCACATTAAGCCAATTATGTGAAGTAGGATGGATTTTGGACTGTTCCGACTTCTACCATTGTGTTTCTTGAATCGAGAAGGGCGAATGGGCTAGTGTGGGGTCAGGAGGGGAAGTGACATCATCAAGCTACTTTTCTATGCATATGCTTGATTGGTCTTATGGTCGATTATGTGAAAGAAAGGCATGGTTCATTGAGTGATACTTCTAAAGAAAAAGTCTAGGACCGTGTGTTTTAGTTTCTTATTTCCTATGATAATTATTAATATGTAATATTATATTCTTGGTGTGTAAACGAGCTAAAGCTTGAGTGAGCTCATATTTAGTTTATGCTTGGCTCATTTTTTTTTATGCTTGTTCGAAATTGACTTGTGTTAGAAAATGCTTATGAATAACATTGTTCGTGTTTGATTCATTTTAATTTTATGCAGCTTTTAATTCATAATTAACTTTAATTAACTTAAAAAATTAAATTTCAAAATTTTTGTGCAAATAATATATATATATATATATATATATATATATTTAAACTAAAAAGGTTGGAGTAGCTCAAATGGCAGATAAGATTAGTGAGAGTCACCATAGATGTTTTGGTCGCATAAAGCGTCGAGCATTCCGATGACCTGGTTAGGAGAGTAGATGTTTTAGATCTAGCATATGTTAGAAAAGATAGAGGTCGACCTTAAATGACTTGGTTAGAAAGTATTAGAAATGGTCTTTGCTTATAGATTTAAATGAGAATTTGATTCTTAATAGGACATAATAGAGAAAAAAGATTCATGTAGCCGTCCAAACAGTAGGATAAATACTTGATGTTGTTGTTGTACAATGTCAGTTTATCTTAGAAATTTATAAAACACAATCAACTCAATTGAAAGAGACAAATGCATTACAAAATTTATGTACTTTTGGCCAAAAGAAAAAAGTACATTCAACAGTGTTCTTCAGTCTATATGTTCCTCTTCATGCATTCCTAAATTACACCCAACTTGTTACATATTAATGAGATAACAGGTTTAAACGTTAGCTGTCAAACTAACTTATGCAGCATTAATTGTGGCAGTCGTTGGATTAAATCCAACAGCCACGCGTTGTTATGTTGTCTCAGATCAGAGAAATAAGATAAAAAAGAAACGCATTTTTTATATTATTAAATAATTATTTTGTGTCTATACGAGCTGAGCTCGATTAAATAGAGCCTTTGTTTGTGTTTGGCTCCTTTAAAATTTGAGCTCAAAATATTTAGAAGTTCAACACGAGTTATTCATGAACAACAAACTTTCTTGAACAAGCCCTTACAATATTCTGTTGTCATGTCTGTGTCATGCCATCTACTTACCTAGTGTTGGTATTTGTGCTTCATAATTCTGATATATTCTATGAATTACATAGACTCTTTTACACCTCGACCATAATTTTTTTAGGCTAGTTGGTATTTCTTGCCATGCATTCAGAAGACATTTTTAAGGCAAGCCATTACATAAACATAAATGGTCATGTCCAATGCATGAAATTCCATGCCTCTAGACCATTGTGTTAATGTGCAGCCTAATTCAATACCACTACACCATTGGTGTTAATGTGCCTTATTCTCGCATAAAACAGGGTGTTTTCATGATTTCTTGTCTACGAGCGGTCAATTACATAATCATCAAATCAATCATATATTTTCAAATCATGTTTTCACTCTCAGGAATCCCAATAACATGTGATGAGTCTAGGCTCCTTTCTTTGCCTTCTTTGACTTTGTTTGGTAACTTCAAATTTTTGTACTAAAAAGTTGCTTTAAGAAACAGTTAGGAAGTCGTCCCAAACGAAGCCTAAATTACGTAATAATAGTATATCCATTTCAATTTTGTCTTAACAGCTTATGCAATTTATTAGCATTTATTTTTACTAATCTATTTTATTTTGCCTCTTTTTTCCAGATGTTGAGCATATGTTTTGTTAAGGGGATTCCAACTGAACCAACTTGGATGTTTAGGTAAGAGATGTGAATAAGGCTTGCACTTAGCTGTTAGCATCTGTTCTGATTGTTGTAACGCAGCATAAGGCTGTAGTAGCTCTTTCCCTGCTTATCTTGAAGACTTTATTAGTCAAATCCAGTATATTTTATTTATGTGGCTTGTGCTTTGGTCTATAGACCGATGACTTCTTTGCTCCTCGTGTTTGAACTGTTTGTATCTGGACTTAGTAATTTTCATCTACTGCTCTTGTTTTCGGGACTCAAATCTCAGTTTAGTCTTGAATTTCTTCTAAATTTGATTGATTTCCTTTACTTTTATGTTGATTGAGCAATATTAAAAGTTCGGACATTATAGATGTAGATATTAAATTTTGTGATTCCTCTACGCAATAAACTGGACCTTATCTACTTTTAAGATTTGGCTTCAGTTGTGTGGGCAGTAAATTTGTGTTGCACAATACATGGGCGATATTGTGAATGACTTGTATGTTTTATGCATATTTTGTGTGCTTTTGTTCTGTTTTTTTTTTAAATTAAAATAATTTTAAGGAAAATTCTTTATGATTTGACATATGGAAAATAGAATTTTTTTTTAAACTGACTAGATATGTTTAATATTGTAGTATTATTTTAGCAAAAGACTTGTTTTATTATTAATATGTTCATTTTATTTTAAGAAGTAAATTAATAATATCAGAATTTTTTTTTTGGTAAATTGCCAATAGCATTAATAAGAAAAAAAAAAGAACAACCAACTAAGTGATAGTTTACCTATCACTTTCCTCCTTTAACAAAGAAAAGAAAGTAGGAGGAACCTTATTAACTTCTAACATGTCCCAAAAGAAGTCACCTTCTAAGGCATGGTTAGCACATGAATGAGCTAAATTATTGCATCCTCTATTAACAAAATGGAATAGAATTACCTCAAACTCCTTTAGAAAATCCAATTCTTCTCCTTTAAAAGTATCCACCTCTCGGCTATGAAGACCAGTCGATTTTTGTAAGTAATGAAATTGTAGTTGTATCCTTCCACAATTAAGCCTTTAGCATTGAGCATCCAGTTTTGTATAACCCTCTTCAAAGAATGAACAACAAAAAGCTCTAGAAATCCAACATCCCAGTGCATTACCGAGAAACCAAATGCAAGAAGCATCCTTCCTATATGGTCTCTAAAGATACCTCCAATGCCAACCTTATTAGAGAGAAGTGCAGCATCTATGTTCACCTTAATCCATTCGGGTGGAGGGGGATGCCAAGTTGAAGAAATCATCTTATTTTGTTGTTTAGCATCCTAGTGGTCTGAAAGAATCAAACAAGATGAACTAGATGCCTGGATAATGGCATTAGTCACAATGATACCAATTCCAAGTTCTTTGCCTTCATGAATCAACAAGTTCCTACTCTTCCAAGAATTGAATAGCAAAGCACAATAAAAATTGGCCATAGCAGGGTTCTTCTCACCTTGTTTCCTCAAGAAACTCAAACATTCTTCTAGGTTGTTCAACTCAGGAATAAAGAAACCCTACCTTTCAACCTTCTTTATAATTTGCTTTAAAATCAAGCACTTCACCGCTACATGTTCTCCGTTTTCTATCATATTACAACCTCTAGGACAAAGGTTCATATCAGCCAACCTTCTATGCACTAAGAAATCCATTGTGGGGATTACATTCTTTAATAACTTCCACCAGAAAAAAGAAACTCTAGGATTAAGTTTAGTTTTCCTGATACAATTCCAGTCTTGGATCCACCATGGTTCAAATTCTTCATTCACAGCTCTATTAAATTTGACCATCCCTGAAATTGTTTTCCTAGAATGCATTTTCAACAACTCCAAATTGTCTCCTTGACTATCCGATCCTATTCTTATATTACAAATAACTTTCACCATTTCTTCTCCAAAAAATTCCTGAAGTTTCTCTGGCACCCAAGCACCTCCCGATATGAAGCATGAAAGATTTATTAAAAGATCAATTTCGATTGACATGAACGTAGGCCAGCTATCCAATCTTCTATCAAGGATCCATATATCCTCCATAATGTTAACAGAAACACCATCTTTAATGCTCCATCTTACAATTTGTTTTAAAGCTTTGGCACCACTTATTAACAATTTATAAGCTGAAGAAGAGTTCGATTTGACCCCTTCCTCCCATACATTCCTTCCATATTTAGCAGACATTGATTTACTAAAAATTGAATTTGGTTTCTTAAGGAAATTCCAAGCCAATTTGGCTCTAAGGGGTTCTATTGAAGCAACAACATATTGAATACCGAGACCACCTTGTTCTTTCGATTTACATAACTCCCTCCATGATACAAAATGTAATCCACTATCTCCATTGCTTTTATTCCAAATGAAATCCCAGCTCATTCTATCAATTTTCTTTAACACAGATAACGGTACCAGGGACATAGCAGTGTAGAAAACCAGGATGGATTGTAATGCAGAATTGATAAGGGTAATCCTGCCAGCTGCAGAGATGAACTTCTTTCCCCAAATGTCTAATTTAAAAGCTGCCTTTTCAAGAATGCCGGAGAAGTCTGATGCCATACGCCTTCTTAAGGTAATTTTTTTGCCCAAATAGTTGAGTTCATTGGTCTCCCCCCTGAACCCCAATAGTTTCGAAAATATCTTTCTCCTCCTTTCCATATTCTTACTATAAACAATAGAAGATTTTTTGATACATTTACTTGTTGACCTGTCTAATTGCAATAGCTCTTTGTGATTCTGATAATTTTCTTAACTCTACTTTAGCATTAGAAAAGATCAAGATATCATCTGCAAACAATAAATATGAGATCCTTGGAACCAAAGGTGCAATTTTCAAGCCCAAAAGATCACCATTGGCTAAAAAAGCATTAGTGAATAACTGAGAGCAAAGTATGAATAAGTGAGGAGAGAGAGGGCATCCCTGCCTAAAGTCGCTTCTCCCTTGAATTCTTTCCAGTTCCACTCCGTTGATATGAATCATAAAAACTGGATCAGTAACACAATCCATAATGAGCTTAGAGAATTTCCTTGGAAAACCAAAATAATCCAAAACTTGTCTAAGGGTATCCCAAGCCATACTATCGTATGCTTGTTCCAGATCAAGTTTGATTGCCACCAATCCCCTTTTAGACTTGGAGAATCTAAACTTATGAAAAGTCTCTTGAGCAAGAAGCACATGCTCAGATAAGGCCCTCCCCTCAATGAAAGCTACTTGCTCTTCAGAAACAAGACCATGAATAACTTTCTTCAATCTGTTTAAAAGAACTTTGGCCACAATTTTGTAGATAGACATACAAAGGTTTATAGGCCTAAAGTTTGAGGGAGAAAGAGGATTACTTACTTTGGGTAATAGTACCACTAGAGTCTCCTTCCATCTAGCAGACATTTTCCCTGAAGTGAAATAGAATTGAATGGCTTTCCACACATCCATCCCAATAATCTTCCAATAAGATTTAAGAAAGGAATATGTAATTCCATCCAAACCCGGAGAAATGTTATTGCCAAGTTCTTCAATTACTTTCTCCACTTCTTCCAAAGTAAAAACAGATTCCAGCATTTTGCAGTCTTCAGCTTTCAGGACATTCATATTCAACGGCCAATTATTTAAATCACAATCTCTATACTTCCATTTTTTACAAAAAAAATTGATAGAAACTCCTTATACAAGCTGGGTCTTCAGTTAACTCCCCATTCTCATTTCTCAATTGCTTAATAGAGTTTCCATTCCTTCTTCCATTAGCAAATGCATGAAAGAATGAAGAGTTTACATCCCCTTCCTTCATCCACTTGGCTTTTGGTCTTTGCTTCCACCATGTACTCAATCTAGCAAGAGTGCAATTGAATTCCTTGACTTTGGATCTAAGAAGTAAAGCTTTGCTGTCCGAAAACAACAATTCAAAGGCTTCCTCCTGCTGCAATTCTTCAATCTCCTTCCTCAAAGTCTCCTTTAAGTCTTTCAATTTTTGATGTTTAGCTTTACTCCAAAAAAATAAAGCTTTAAGAACTCTAGACATCTTCTTATTAACAGCTTCCATATCATCTCCTCTCACTAGTTTAGCCCAAGACTTCTTGACCACTGAAGTAGCCGCTGAATAAGACAGCCAAACATCCTCAAACTTCTGAAATCTGGATTTTTGAAATTGTTGATGAAACAACTTCAACACAATGGGACAATGGTCGGAAGCAATTCTTTCCAGATGCCTAATTGATGGAAGATTGATCAATTCCAAAGCTTTAGAATTCAGCAAACATCTGTCCAGTCTTTCTAGAATTCGTGCACTACAACTCTTGTTATTACACCAAGTAAATTTAGCACCAATAATACCCACATCATGTAGATCATTATTGTTCATAAAAGCCTTCATTTCCAAAGCCCCATGAGAGAAAGAAAATTTCTTGCCACCTTTCTTCTCGTCTTGAGAAAGTATGCAATTGAAGTCGCCTCCAATCACAGTAGGGGTATCCTGTTCAACAATACCATCCATAGACCTTCATAGTTCTCTCTGCCTTGATATTCCCTGCTACCATAAATAGTAGCTATCATCCACTTGCTTTTATTGAAGATTTATAATTCTCCCAGCACACATTGGTCCAAAGACTTAATCAAAGAAAATGAAGCCACATTTGTATTCCAGATCACCATGATTCCACCAGAGTTCCTCCTAAAGGGCTGCAGGAAAAAATTCTAGTCTTCACCCATGATTTTAACAAAATCATCCTTGGTGAGAGAAGCAATCTTTATTTCAATGATACCCACAAAAAGCACATCCCATTTTTTAATATACTCCTTCAAATAAAGGGAGGCCTCTCTCTAGTTGGCCCCCCTACAATTCCAAAAACTAATGGAATTCAGTTGGAAATAAATGGGGGTAAGCCCCCACCCGTTCTTCTGTTCAAATTAATTCTGCTTTGCATGGAAGATAAATTCAGCGGGCCCAAATGCCTCAGTTCCTTAGAGAGTTTAACTTTTTGTAAAGAACTTTTCTCAACACTTTGAGTACCAATTTCTTCAGCCAAAATAGTAGTTTCCTTCACAGTTTCTTTCTGGGAAGTTGCCACAATGCTGTTTTATGACAATCCTCCATATTTTCCATCACTTCCCCTTCTTCCAATTCCTCTTCTAAGGACACAACTTGAATATCCACACCAATTTCTTCTTCACATACAGATTTTAGTAACTCAAATTTGTTACCTGGCAACATAACAGCTTCTTTGGACGAATCAATCTCCAAATTTCCATCAGAATCTCTATGATCTACCAAGCTTTTGGCTTGTAAATTAAGAACCTTTTCAGCTTCAA